GCATTTCCCTCCCTCCACTGTTTTTTGATCCCATTCCCCACTCCACCCCCATAAAATGTTTCTGGTATATAGCTGTTCATTATCATTGTTATTTTCTCACCTGGTCCATTATATTCCTGCTATGAGTGCAACCATCTGGTATTTTTCCTAAAAAAAAAAAAAGGAAGCCCTGAAGGATCCAAAAAAATAGATACTAGAATTAGTAAAAGAAGTTAGTGAAATCACACTGCTAAAGATCAATACACAAAAATCAATACAGCAATAATGAATAACCCAAGAGGGAACTTAAGAAAGCAATTCCTTTTTTTTTTTAAAGGGAATAAGAAGATGAAAAACTTAAATATACACTTAAACTGAAAACTAAAACAGATGAAAAGAATTAAACATGGCATAAATAATGGAAATAGAGCCTATGTTTACAGGTTGGAAGATTTAATATACTTAAGATGTCAATACTACCCAAAGATATGTACAATTGAACACAATCCTTGTCAAAATTTCAAAAGTCTACTTTTTTTTTAAAAGGTTTATTTATGCTTACAGAACTGGGGTACAGGCCAGAGGTGTGGTGGGTGAGAAGATTCACCAGAGACAGAAAGGGGAGCAGTATAGGCAGGTTGACAAAGTACACTGCTGAGAGTAGCAATGGTCAGGTCAGAGAGGTCTGCCACTGGCATGTGGGTCAGCTCCCTGGCCAGGGATCCCACTCGTGCTGCAGTGGGTTCCGAGAGCTTTAAATGCAGTGCTTTAACTGGCTGCACCACCAGGGAGAGCCCTCAAAACTTTTTTTTTTTTTATTTACTTACTTATGCATACAGAACTGGGGTACAGGCCAGAGGTGCAGGGGCAGTGAGAGGCTTCACCAGAGACAGAGTAGGGAGCAGAACAGGTAGATCAACTAAGTACACTGCTGAGCAGAGCAGCACGGTCAGGAGAGGTCTGCCACACCATGTGGGTCACCTCCAGAGCCGGCATCGAACTCATGCTAAAGTGGCTTTAGCTTCTTAGTGCTGTGCTTCAACCCACTGTGCCACCAGGAAGGGCCCCAAAAGTCTATTTTTTAATAAGTAGAAAAGTGATACAAATTTCAAGGGGCTCCAAATAAACAAAATAATCTTTAAAAGAAGAACAAAGCTGGAGAACTCACACTTCTTGATTTCAAACTTATTACAACACTGCAGTAAACAAAATAGTACTGTTATGAATAAAGATAACATATAGACCAGTGGAATAGAGTTGAATCCATAAATAAAACCAACATAAACAGTCAACTGGTTTTCAAACAGAGCACTAATTCCACTCAATGAATCATCTCTTTAACAACAGATAGTGCTTAGACAAGTGGATCTTCCCAGGCAAAATGAAATTGGACCTGCTGCACATCATATGCAGATATTAATTCAAAGTGGGTAAACACCTAAGTATAAAAGTTAAAACCATAAATCTCTCAGAAACCCTCAGAAAAGCTGAAACCATAAAACTCTTAGGGTAAATCTTCATATCTCAGATAAAGCAATAGGTTCTCATAAAACTGGAGTAAAATCAAATATATGGATCAAATAGATTTTATCAAAATCAGAAACTTTTGTTCATTAAAGGAAGTTATAAAGAAAGTGAAAACATAACCAACACTTAGAGCTCAGAATTCTTGCCTCCAGAATTGTGTAAAAAAAAAAAATTTGTTGTTTACAAACACACAAAAAAAGAGTGAAAAGACACCCTAGAAAATAGGAAATATTTTCCTCTAGCTGATAAAGAATATCCAGAATTTAAAAACTACTCCAATTTAATAGCAAAGACAAACCACCCAATTCAAAAAATGGGCAAATAGGGTCTCCTTGGTGGCCTAGGGGTTAAGTCTCAGTACTATCATGCTATCTTTGCTGATGCCTGAGTTTGCTCCCAGTCCAGGGAACTAACCCATATATGGTGCAGCAGACCTCTCCTGTCCACATGCTGCTCCCCTTAGCAGTGTATTTCAGTAGATCTGTTTGTTCTGCTCCCCACTCTGTCTCTGGTGAATCCTTTCACCCCTAGCACCTCTGGCCTATACCCCACTTCTTCTATGTATAAATAATTAAAAATAAACCTTTTTTACAAATGTGCAAATAGACTTTTCTCCAAAGAATGAATACATACAATTGGCCAGTAAACACATGAAAGGTCAACATTATTAGTCATTACAGAAATGAAAATTAAGAGCATAGTGAAATCACCTGAAACCTACTAGGATGACAATAAGATTCTAAAAACAACTAGTGACAAGAGTGTGGATAAACTGGAATACTTGTATATTGCTGGCATAAAGATAGTGTGGCTGCTGTGATACAGTTTAGTTCTCCCTCAATAAGACATGAATTACCAATCAATTTCATTTCTAAGTATATACATTTGGCTCCTCAGTATCCTCCAGACACTGATTTGAGGATCTCCAAGGATACCAAAATCCTAGGATTCTCAAGTCCCATATATATAAGGCATAGCAGCAGCTATTGGGTAATCGAGGTAGCAATCTGATGTATTGTATTTACATATAATCTATGCACATCATTTTACTTTAAATCATCTCTAGATTATGTATAATAACACAGTATAAATTCTACATAAATAGTTGTTAGAGTGTATTATTTAGGGAACATGACGACAACGTCTGTACATGTTTAGTACAGATGCAAACAATATAGGCTCTAACTACATGGTAGGTATTTTCAACTTGTGATTGTTTGAATTCATAATGTGAAATTCAAGAGATACAGAAGGTCAACTATACACAAATGAATTACCAAAAAAAAGTAGTAATCAACAAATACTTATTAAAAACTAGTCATTGTAGTATTGTTCACAACAGCCAAAATGTAGAAACAACCCAAGTATCTATCAATGGATGAATATGATATAACATACGAATGTGAATATGTTTAGACAATGGTATTATTCAGTGATAAAAAAGGCAATGCCTGACACCTTACAGCATGGATGAACCTTGAGGACATTATGCTGAGTGGAACAGAAGACATAAAAGGCAAATACTATGTGATTTCTCATTATTAGTAACTAGAATAGTCAAATTTAGAGACAGAGAGTAGAGCTTGCCAAAGGAGGCGAGAGGAAGGAAATAGAAAGTTATTGCTTGAGTGGTTTGATTATAATTTCATTAATAATTAATATTATTTAATTGTACACTTTAAAAAGGTTAAAATGGTGAAAACTTTTTCTTATATTTTACAAGAAAAGAAATACAATGAGGTAGCCCTCCCTACTGGCGCAGCGGGTTAAAGCACTGCACTAAGAAGATTAAGCCACTTCGTCATGAGTTCGATCCCCGCCTGCGCCCGAGGAGATACACATGGCACGGCGACCTCTCCTGACCCGCCCGCTGCTCCCCTCAGCAGTGTGTTTCGTCGATCTGCCTGTTCTGCTCCCCACTCTGTCCCTGGTGAATCCTCTCACCTTCTGCATCTCTGGCCTGTACCCCAGCTCTGTATGAATAAATAAAATCTTAAAAAAAAAAAAAAAGAAATACAATGAGGTTTGTTCCTTGGTTTCTCTACCTTCTCCATATCCAAATCCTTGTTCCACACATCAACTCAACTGTATCATTACAAATACTTATACTCCCTACTTAACCACCTTAGTCTTTCTTTAGAAATTGCTCTAATTCTGTATTATACCAAAGCGGGTGATAAGCAAATAATTGCCACAAATACCAAATAATAAACTATCAGAAATCGTGAAAACAACGCGGCTTAAGTACTAGTTTTACAGTTACAGCCCACCAAAATTTTCGAGGCCAAGGTATGATCCATCATAAAGAGAAAGAAGAAAAAGAATGTATTTGAAGACACAGCATAAATGATGCATTTTTCCCTTGCTGTACTGAAGCCTGAAGAATTGCAGGGGATCAGTTCTCTCCGTGAGTGATTTACCGTATGTCAACTGAGATACTTTCTCTCCCAAATTTTGTTTAACAGGGATGCCTCTCAGTAACAGGGATACCTCTCTTAGTACGCAGGACAACATTTGTATGTCGATGAACAGTACGGCCCGCAGTCCGCGCGACCCGAACCCACTCTAGGATCCTCAGGCGCACTGTGGCCCATACACCGCTCCGGACGTCGGTGACCTCCGGGTCTCCACCCGCCACCACCCGTCTCTCCCTAAAAGCAGCGAGAACCAAGGAGTCCCCTTTGTCTGGCAACACAGCGCAGATCTGCTTCGCTCTCCTTCTGAAGGTCCCTACAGCTCTCAGCTGGGTATAATCGCAGCCCAAAGTAGTTAGAATAACAAGCAATTCTCCGCTGCCCTGAAAGAACGCTGGGCTGCCGATACAGGCGCGGTGTTGTGACGTCACTTCCCCGCCCTCCACCGCAGGGCGCACGTCCCCTCCCAGGGCGGGTCTGCGTGCTGACGCCACACGCCGGGGCGGGGCTGAGAGTTTGGTGCCCCGGAGCGGGGTGTCGGCGCTTCGTTCGGGTGGAGCTGTGCGGGAGACAGGTAAGCGCTAGCTACCGCCATCCCGGCTCGGTGTTGGGGACTCCATGTCCGTCGGGCAGCGTCAAGAGTCGTGGCAGAGGACAAAGCTTCCATGCCCTTGTTATCGCTGGCGCTGCAGTGACAGGGAGTGAAGCTGGATAGAGCGGGGCTGGCGGAGGGGGGGTTGTGGGCGGGATGGGGCCTGACAGACGGGCGTGGCAGTCAATGGCGCGTCTGGCGCCGCCGGGCAGGCGGAGATTGGCGGGTGCGGGGGTCGCGCGGGGCGCGGAGCGGCGTGCCATTGGTTGTGGCTGTCCGGGGCCGAGCCGCACGGCGGATGTGAGGGAACGGGCGCCACCGCCAGAGTGACCCCCAAGGTCGGGAGGTGTCACGTGGTAGCCTCCCGGTCGCGTCCTCTGCTGGCGGCCACCTGATCCCTGGGTTCCTGGGCGTCCTTGATAAAACGGCTTGGAGGGGCTCCGGGACACCGCTCTACCCGGGTACACACAACTTGGTCGGCTCTATTTTGGCCGCTCCTGCGTTCCCGTGGTGACCCCGTGATGTGCAGATTACCCTGCAGCGTCCCACCGTATTCCGTACCATGCTGTACCCAGCACCCCGCCAAACTCAGTACCTGTCGTGCTCATCCATCTCCCAATAGATGACATCCTTGATTACTCTGCACCATTCCCTCTGTATTCGTCCTTGAAGGTTTCGTAGCCCATGTTGAGATGAAGCCTGTTTCTTGGAGGAACACGTTAATCGTGCACCTTTTCTCTTTCACAAAGTTACCTTTCACAAATGTACGTTGTGTAGCTCAATTTAATGGAAAACTGCTGGTGAGGCTGTGAATCAACAAGAACCTGCTGTTGCCTTTTGCCTAGGAGAGATATGTCCGAGGTGTGAACTCTACTGGGGTTTTTCTGTGACATGTTCTTGCAGTTCTGTACGGTGAAGCGGGGACTGTAGGCCTTTTGCTACAATGCTTACATTGCTTTCAGCACCACAGAATGTGTGCCCTGGTGTGAAGCTTTGTTGGCACTTGTTGCACACGGTGCAGCAAACTACAGTTTTTGCTTTGCAGATCTACCTCATGTGGAAATAAATCACATTATTCTGGCATAGCAAATTAGAAACCAGAATGATGACTAGATCTTGAAAAGTTGGAAAAAGGTCAGAATATGATGATTATTTACTTTTATTATATATTTATGCATGCATGCAAAACTGGGGTATAGGTCAGAGTGCAGGGGCAGTGAGAGAATTCAGAGACAGAGTGGGAGCAGAAGAGGCAGACTGACTAAGTATACTGCTGAGGGGAACAGCAGGCAAGACAGGAGCGGTCTGCTGTGCCATGTGGGTCACCTCCATGGGCCGGGATGGAACTTGCACGCACTGAAGAGGTTGCAGCCAGCTTGCAGTACTGCATCCTAAACCTTTGTGCCACCAGGGAGGGCCTTGATTATTTTTTTAAACACCACATTTTAACTGTTTTCCCCTGAACAGCTCTTTTGAACTACATCAGATACGACACAATTCAAAGTATACCACTAAGTAAACAAGTGGTTTGTGTGTAGTCACAGTGATGCAGTGATTCCCACAAATCAGTTGCATTTACTGCTAACGTTATTTTCAGAAATTTGAAAATAAGTTGGTTTCATTTAAACGTGAATGCAGCTTATAAATACTAAATGTCATATATATTATATCGCATAATCATGTATGTAACATACATGCACATGGCATGTGCATATGCTCCTGCTAAAAAAAAAATCACTCTTCAATGCCCCACTTGAAAAAACTCTTACCATTTACCTTTTAAATTGTCAGGTAGTTTTTTTTTTTAAATAATTGCAATTGTTAAGAAATTTATTTTGAGGGTTGTATAATTCAGAGAAATCCATTTTTTGCAGGTGTAGCAAATTATGCAGAGATCTCAGTATCTCCTTAACCTGTTTCCTCATAATAACATTTTGCAACAGCTGTGGCAAAATATTGCAGCCAGATACTAACATTGATAATAGTCAAGATACTGAACAATTTTTATCATGACAAGGATCTCTCCTGTTGCCTTTTCGTAGTCACATGTATTTCCTTCCTTCAACTCCTTTGCTACTGGCAACCACAAAATCTGTTCTGTAATTTTAGCCTGGCGAAAGTATATATATAAAGGGAATTATACAGTGTGTGACCTTTTGGGACTAGCTTTTTCCACCCAGCATAATTCTCTGGAGTTTGCAAGCAAGTTAATGTATGTATTGGTATTTTTATGCCCTCATATTATGGCTGTGCCCATTGATTTAACTGTTAACAGTTGGAGAACATCTGGGATGTTTCCATTCTTTGGCTATTATGAATAAGTCTACTATAAATATTCATATTTCTCCTAATCTGTAACTTGTCTTTTTTTTTTTTTAAAGATTTATTTATTTATTCATAGAACTGGGGTACAGGCCAGAGATGCGGAGGGTGAGAGGATTCACTAGAGACAGAGCGGGGAGCAGAAGGCAGACTGACGAAGTGCACTGCTGAGGGGAGCAGCTGGCGGGTCAGGAGAGGTCTGCCACGCCATGTGGTCACCTCTGGGGCAGGCAGGGATCGAACTCATGCTGAGGTGGCTTAAGCTTCTCAGTGCTGTGCTTTAACCCGCTGCGCCACCAGAGAGGGCCCTGTAACTTGTCTTTTTATCTTCTTCAAGGGATATTTTGCAGAGCAAACGTTTTTAATTTGGCTGAAGTCCGATTTCTCAGTTTAATCTTGATTGTGCTTTTGGTATCAAGTCTAAAGGTCTTGCTAGTTGTTGTTCCTGAAGACTCATAGTTCCATAGTTTTGTGTTGTACACTTAAATGTGGTGGCCATTTATACTTCATTTCTATATAAGGTGTAGAGTCTGAGTTGAATGTAAACATTCATGTACAAGTTTTTATGTGAGCATAAATTTTTCTTTCTTGGGAGATTCCCAGAATTGCAATCACTAAGTCACACAGGAGTTTCACTAGGTCACACAGGTATTTGCATGTTTAGTTTTTTTAAGAAACAGCTCATGTATTTTCCAGAGTGGCCATACCATTTTACATTCTGAAGAGCAATGTATTTGTGATCCTGTTTCTCCACATTTGGTGATGTTTCTATTTTTTATTTTAGTTTTCCAAACTTATGTGTAGTGGTGTCTTGTAATGTCTTTATTCCAATTTGTCAGTTTAATCTTCATCATGTTTTTGGTATCGAGTCTAAAGGTCTTTCACCTAGTTGTTCCTGAAAACTAATATACTTTTCTAAAAGTTTCATAGTTATGTGTTGTGCACTTAAATATGGTGGCCATTTATACTTAATTATCTATATAAGGTGTAAAGTCTAGGTTGAATGGGTTTTCTTTTGGTTTGGAGTTAGGTTTTGTTTGTTTGTTTTTTTAATTGTCTGTAGATAACCAACCAACCCATTTGTTGAAAAGTCTATCTTGGAAAAAAAAAAAAAAAGACTGTCCTGACTCCATCATACTACTTTTGCACTTTTGTCAAAAATCTTTTAGTCATTCTTACGTGATTCTGCTTCAGAGTTCTCTGTTCCCATTGATCTGTGCATTTCACCACGATATGCCATACAGTCTTGATTACTGTATGATGAATCTTGAAGTCAAGTCTCCCACTTTATTTCTTTGTCAGTTTCTTTGAAACAATGTGTGTTTGTATAAATTGTTTCAGCTAATCTAGTTCACTTATTTTCCTATATGAATTTTAGAGTAATCTTCCCATTTACTGGTGTTTTGATAGGAATTGTGTTATATCTGTATATCAATTTGGAAATAATCAGCATCTTTGATATCAGTTTTCCTATTCATGAGTAAGTATGTCTCCATTTATTTAGATTTTTTAAAAAATTTCGTCAGCATTTTGAGGTTTTCAGCATCCAGGTCTTACATGTTTTGTTAGAATTACATGAATTATTTCCTTTTTTAAATTTTGGGTTTCATGTGTTCATTGAAAATATACTTAAGTACAATTGATATGTATCTTCTATCCTGTTGTCTTTTTGAATTCACCTAGTTCTGAATATATTTGTAGACCCCTTGAGGTTTTGTGTATAAACAATCATGTCATCTGCACTAAAAGTTTTATTGCTTACTCTTTTATCTTTATGCTTATTAATTCCTTCTCTTGCTTTTTGACACAAACTTCCACTGGCTACAGCTTCTAATATTTTGCTGCATAGTAGGAGTAAGAGTGGTCATCCTTTCCCAGTTTTAGGAAAAAGTATTCAGTCTTTCACCATAATGTTGTAGTTTTTTGTGGCTATCTACAGCAAGTTCCCTATTACTAGTTTTCTGAGAGTTTTTATCATGAATGGGTGTTTCAAGTGCTTTATCCACATTGACATGGTTGTGGGATTTTTCTTTAGCTTGTCATATGGCAGACTGTTATTTTTGGATAATGAGACAAATTAAATTTGCATCCCTGGAAAAATAGCTCAAGGTTTGGGGTGTGTGTCTGTAGCTTAATTCTGTTGACTGTACTTTGTTAATTAAGGCAGGTTTTGTTTTCATTTTTTGCATCTTTAGTCACCAAGGATGTTAGTTTAAATTTTTTTAGTTGTACTACTTTTGTATGGATTTGATTTCAGAAGGGAGATGTTAGCTTCATAAAATGAATTGGTATTTCCTCCTCTTACATTTTCTAGAAGAGATTGTGCAGAATGGAGCTAATTCATTTTCAAAAGTTGGTAGAATTCTCCAGTGAAACCATCTGCATCTGGAAATTGTTTTTTCAGGAGTTTTTTAAATTACAGTTTCTTTAGTAGTTACTGGGCTATAGAATTAACTATTTCGGATGGGTAGTTTGTGCTTTTGTTGAGTTCTGTATCCTTGCTTACCTATGTCTACCTGTTCTAGCCCTTGTTGAAAGAGGGGGGACGTTGATATTTCCAACTGTAATTGTGATTTGTCTTTTTCTCCTTTTGCTTTTCATTTTTTACATAAGAAATTTTCACATTTCACACTAAGTGCTGTTTTATGCATACATATTTA